TTCCTGCTTTCTCTCTTCTGCTCAATGGTGTAGCTCAATTGGAATTCAATTTATTGTCATTGGTTTTTTTATTATCTTTCAGGTTTCCCTTGTTTTTTCTCACCCCATTGTCGTTTGACAGTTGTTTTGCCATGTACTGTCCCTAATTTATTTTTTTAGAATTGAATTTAGCTCAGTGGTGTTATTTTCTGCTTTCTTTCTAGGGATTTTGGCTCTTTTGCTGGCGCGGCCACCTGATATTCCATGGCTTAGGTTGCGTGATGTTTTGCTAGGTTTGTTTCTTTTCAGAGACCCTGCAGGTTGCTTTTTCTTTTTTCAGGAAGGACTTTTTGATTAGGTTTAAGTGCATGTCTGAGCTTTCTCCTATTGTTTGGCTTGCTCACCTTCCTTTTTTTGTTTTATCTGATGCTTTTCAGTTACTGTTTGTATGATGTGTTCAGGAATGCTGTGTGTCTTTGATTGCCTTCGACAAGGCTCGATCGAATAGCCTTTGTCAAGGTTATGTGATTCTTCGGCTGGTTTTTCACAGGTATGGTGTTCCTTCACTGCATTCATTTTCATATGGCTAAATTTTCTTCAGATGGTTTCAATATCGGCTTTTCCTAGATCCATCTTTTTGTTGTTTTTTATTGTAATTTGTTTTTTATGTCGTTGAGGATGGTTGCATTTCAATCGTGGCCTCTTACTTACTTTTGTTCTATGTTTGCTCATGTGCTGTTCATTATCGGGCTATGCTGTTCTTCATTGTTTGCTGCATTTTTAGCTACAGTAATTTGTTTCATCGGTCAGCTCTTCGCTTGAGGGAATGAGGGTGTCATTTAATGTTTGTTAAAATTAGTTAAAGGACCCTAGAGTAATGCAGGGAACTGATGATAGCATGAATAGATGAAAACCAAACACATCAGATAAGACAACATGAGATAAACCCCTGCATTTTTAATGTTTAATTGGAGTTGAATTATTTAAATTTAATAAACATGACAATTATGTTCCTCCACGAGATCCCAATCTATCAAAATTGAGTTTCTTCTCAATATAAAGTGTAGGCTTATCCACTAAGGCAATTTTTTCCACATCACCCTCCAATTGTCCATGTTGTTTTGCGGCTCACAATAAATTAGGTGCCTGGAATACTTCAATTCGCTCCACTGCTGATGCCATCAATTTCGCTCTACGCAATGAAGTATGAACATGGCTGGCCAGGAGGATTTGTGGTTATATTAACAGATTAGCAGGTTGTTTCTTTGGTCTAGGTGTTTAGTAAAGGAGATGCTAGGGGAAATTATGAGGGTGGTCTTGGCATCCAGACTGCTAGAGAAGCTATCTTTAGATGGCAGCAAAAGAAATTCCTCTTAGGCATGCTAGAATTCCTACAGGCATTTGCAACTACCTTTTCCTCTCCTGTGCTTACATGTATCCAGTGCAGTCAAAGAATGATGAGTCACATATCAAATGGGGCCACAGTTGTCGATTCCCCCCCGTGTTCCTACAGACATGCAGTTGATAGGAAACTTATTGGACATTTTGTGCCTAACAAAAGTCACAAGTGATGGCTGACATGCTAATCTAAACTCATGAGATGCTAAAAACAACTCAACTTGATCGAATATAACCTGAGCATATTAGTCGGGAGGTGATGGCAAGTAAGATTTCTTAGTTGGAAGATGATTTCTTTCGACCCTCTTTCTTAGAGTTTAAAAACCTTGCTAGGATCTCAACCCAATGCTTAGAAATTCAAGCAACTGCCAACTCTTTCTCTGTTAACTCTGTTATGGCTTGATGTGATTTGCAACTCATGTTCATTTTTTTGTCTTAAAATATCAACTTTTTTGCTGATATCATGTTTTCTTTTAGGAAGGCTGGTTCACTACACGAATAGAGAATTAAGCAAAATTTTACAGGGTTTTGACCTAGCCTTTGCCACTAATTTAAGCAAAGATGTTGAGGAATGAGTTAATAGCATTATTGGGTGATAAGTGTGAGCTTAATTGCATATATAGACTAGCACTTCTTATTGACTTGACTACGTCATCTTTGATTTGGTGTTGAGCATGCCAACATGGTTAATAGCTTTTTTTTTTAATCCTTTTTACTGTTCTTTTGAGATTAATGCCCATTTCGCTCCATTTTTTTTTGTCCTTGGCAGCTGTTTGTTAGTTGCCTTTTTTACCTGGGCATCTTCGCTTGCATTTCCCCCTGCTGTTCTGCTCACTTCGCACAGGAACTGCTGAAGCTGCGTCCATAGATTGGCTACTCAGTCCTCAGTCATTTGGTTAGATTGCATTTTGTTGGCTACTTAGAATGGGTGGCCGACCAAAATTTTGTTTTTAATGAATCCTTTACAACACTATGTTCTTGTCATTGCATGGCAATAATGATATGAAGTCTCAAGGATTGATGGGAAAGAAAAGAAATATCTTAGCAATGATTATGCCGAATCCGTTCCACTATACAACTGATTAATTGAAGATGAAACAGGATTTGTGTCTGTCCTCAATAAGTAAGCTTAAAAAAAATTGATTTGGCCATGTTTTTCAAATAGGGATTTGATGATTTTGACATGATCAATAATGGATGCACCAAAGACAAATGTATATATCCAATTTCTCTTTGCATAAAAGCATCATTTTATGTTCCGTTTAGTCCTGCCAGAGTCATTCACTCCCTTTCTCTTTGCAGTTTTAACTCTGTGTTCTACATCATATAGGCTTATCAGCTGCAACAAGATTCACAAGAATTTGCATTGGTGCATGAGAGGTTGATATTCAGCATCACCATAACCTCCTCTGAAGAATAATCTGACCGCAATTCTGGATCGACCAACTCTGAAAGACCTCCTCTCTCTTGCAAAACATGGGCATGGCAGAATCCCAGATAAATCCAAATAAGGATGCTATAATGTACTCAATACTGTAAAATGAGTATAGGAAGTTCAGCAGAAATATGGAACGACAAATGCAGATATAAGTTCGGCAGGAACCAAAAAAGATTAGGAAACGAGATGGCTGTCTTCTGCAGAATATGAGGATGAATAGTTTGAATATTTGAGGAAACATTACACGCAATGATGCAAAATTGACAAGAAACACGAGGTTGGCCAGTTCACGTACAGATACAATGTGACGTTTTGCAATGAGTATTAAATCAAGAATAGCATCAAATGTTTTCCAATGAGCATCAAACAAGGAATGAAAGAGAATGCTAGACAGTATAAGCTTACTCAGTCAAGAAGGTAAACAAACTCATCCTTTGGCCTGTAGTTTTTGTTGATCTTACCACTTACAATTTCCAAAGCAACAACTCCAAAGCTACAAACATTTTCTTTGCTAGTTTAGCAGCCACGCATTGCATGCTCAGGAGCCATATAACCGGGAAAAAAAAGGTGGTTAAACTCGCTACATAATCCTTGGTTTTTCACTTGATTTCACGGGTACATGCAATTGTTCTGCATGACTAGTACCCAAGCATTAATTGGTTTCCTCCAACAAAACATCATTCCTATCTCATTCACAAATTCACGGTTTCCTTGCTTAGACTTTGAGGAAAGCAGCATCACTGCAATCACACAGTTCCATCTCATAGTGAACGCTGTGTTCAATAATTAAAAGTTCCCACCTCACGATCGAGTTGTAAGAATTAGCTTGCATCCCTTCACTTTGATAGGAATTCCCACCTTATCAGAATCAATGATAAGCCCTTTTTCTTTGTCCTGTTTGCAATGATCAGCCCCACTGCCTGGAAACCACCAAATAAACTTCATGCACTTTCTGCTTTATTTATTCACACTAATTATTTAACGTGTTTACATTACGCTGCTTTAACCCTTGAGTTTATTGTTAGATGGTAAAACAAAAGTGTTATGCTAATATAACATATTTCGGTTCTCAGGTCAGCACCTAGCATGTCTCCTTCCTTGTAAGAGAGGGCTCTGGCAGTACTTCCCATCTGGGCATACCGTAGCTTGTTGATCGTATTGGCTTTTGCACTTGCAGGATCGAGAGGAAAAAAAAACAAAAATACTTAGACGACCCATGTCAGTTGTTGTATGAGATCTGGTTCATATAAAAATAAAATATGATGAAATCTTTAAATCTTAATTCAACATTTTGTTATGGTTTCATACTTTGAGATTATTGGAAAATTGTAGCTGTGATTGTGTAGACTGGCGTTATGGGATTGTGTAAAAATTGATACGAGGCTTAATATGTGGAAATCAAGATGTAGTCTCCAATATAATAATTAAATATTTAAATTAATTATTTAGTATATTAAAAATTATTGATTCACCTTACTTGTGAAAGATCTCAAAAGCAAATATCTAAAGAAATTATACTAATATCCTGCGGATAGAATATAAAGATTATATAAATATAAAAAAAAATATTAAAAAACAACTTAAAAAAAAAACATTCAATTTATTTGATATACTTAATTTAGAATGTAATTCATAATCCTATATGTTTAGAAATATATGTGTAATTACTAGTCGATGCCAAACATAACATAGCTAATCAAATCTAAAAAAATTATCTAACCTTATTGTCAATCAATCGTTTCAACCCAACCGGTCGATCAAAACTATCCAAGATAAACTAGTAAACTGAAATTTACCAATCGGTCTTCCAAATCAAAACATACCAAATGATCTACTAGTTCTACCCAATCGTTGCACCAGAATCAAACAAGTCAAAATGGTCAATCGGTTTAACTAATCGAAGTTTTTGGTCAAGAATTTCAGACTAGTTTTCCCTAGATAGCAGATTTCTTCAAAATTTTATCCAAACCTTAAAATTCCATAACAAATCAATAAACTCATAACACAACTAACCTATAACACTTCAATTAACCCATCCCATTATAATCAATCCATCAATTTATACCAAATTCATCAATTAATCTCTAAAATACAAATTGAAACCTAAACCTTAACACAAACCTTAACCAATAACATCAATTATAAACATTCATGCTTAAATCTTACCTCAGTAACTTAGTGTCTCAAGTTCTGTTCCCTTTCCTCCTCCTCCTCTTCTTCTCCCTTCTTTCTCTCTTTTCTCGATTCTCTCTCTAAAATCAGCTTTCGTTTTCTTTCTTTTTTGTCTTCTTTCTATTTATATTTATCAAGCTTTTATTCAATTACGTTGATGCTCTTCATCCATTTACACCTACTTTTAAGTCTTCAAAGCATTGTTGTCTTTTCTTATTTATTCTCTTCTTTTATTTTACAAAACATCACCAGTGCTGCCAAAGACAATTATCTCATCACTACCATATGAAGAAGGAACGATGTTCTGATAAATGTTGAAAATATGAAGAAGGATTCAGATATAGAAATAATTACTCATAAAAAAAGAGAAAAAATGGAAATTCTAGTTAAAATCAACTTATAGATACTGCGGAACATGCAGAAATGTATTTTGTCCAAACTAAAGGAAACCAATGTTGCATTTATAGAAGTTCATTGATTTCTAGAAGCAGGACATGGACAGTGTTGTTTTAGACATGAATGTACTTCGCTTCGGCAACATTTAAGGGACAAAATGCAGTCTCAAGTGATTATATTGACACTAGATGTTAAATTCTTAATTAATGGCTTGGAAATAGTAGGAGAAATGGAAAAGTTTTCTTGAATATGTTATAACAAATTAATATTTGAGTAATGATTCACAGTTTGATTGGTTGTTAGAACCTTAATAATCATGGAGTACAATATAGACATGGAGGAATACATATTTTGTTTTTGTTTTAGAATAAAATCATTTTTAAACTACAAAGAAACTAATTCACAATTTGATTGGTTGTACGTTAGAACCTTAATATTCACAATTCGAATATTTTGATTCACAATTGTTTGGTAAATCAGCATTAATTCATAGAAATGTGAGAACTTGTCGATCAAATACACACACACACACATTAAGGGCTCAAGAATGATATTATATTACACTCTATCAGTTCTTGGAGGCCTACAATATTAGGGAAACTCCTGCATGGTGGGAGACACGTCTCCACTTAAAAACAACTGCTACAATACTAGCTGAACCTAGGAAATGCCTTGGCAAATCAGAACCTTCTACAGTGTGATGTTTTGCAATGAGCATTAAACCGAGACTATCATCAAATGTCTTACAAATGTTTTCCAATCAGCATTAAACAAAGAATGAAAGAGAGTTTTAGAGAGTATAAACTTCCTCAGTCAAACCTCTAGCTATGCCTAGACAAATTTTCTGCCTGGAAGGCCAATCCATTTCAATCTGAACGTTGCATCCTTCACTGTAAATAATGGAAGATAAAAGACATCATACAAAAATTCAATTAAGTGGACACATAGCTTAAGGTTAATTCATTAAAATCCAATTAAAACAACAATGCTTACTTTTAATTTAATATTATATTAAGGGCAACGTCGTCACTCATCCTACAAAAACCTTACAAAGGGAAGAAGCACATCCTTAGCGTTAGGATGCTCCCACCACACTACTGACTCCCACCATTCTTTTGGTTCTACATACATTCTTTTAAGAGAAGGGGGAGGAGATGGCTGGCCATTTTCAAGCAACGGAAGACAAATTCCCATCCTCTTCAGCTTCTCACATTCTATAATCCAAATTACCTCGAGAGAATCGCAAGTCAGTTTTGCATTGCAAATACTTTTCAGTTCTGGTAATCCAACCAAGTGCAGAAGTCTTAACTTGGGGAGTTTGAATTCATTGTTGCTGCTTTCTTCACCCATAACCCCTTCTTCAGCTGATCTTGTTCCAACTATTATCTCCATTTTCTCACATTCTTCAACTGTAATCGCTTCCAGGTTTGCAAGGCTTGGCAGAAAGACAGGAGGGAACAACTTCTTCATGCTCTTACAGCCAGAACAATGAAACCTTTTAAGACCAGAAAATATACCGTTGTCAGATGGCAAAGGTAGTGGAGCAGAGCAGTACCAAGAAGATAAAACCAAGCTCTCCATGCTATTGCAACTACTAATATAGATATACTCCAGATCAGTTGCATACTTTATTAGAGAGGAAACATCGCATAAGCTTTTTGCATCATCACATTCATCAATGGTCAGTTGTTGAATGTCCTCTGGGAACATGTCCCGAAAATCTCCGTCTCTGATACTCAATTTACTCAAAAAAATTACTTTATTTTTGTCATGTTCATAATGATTGTGATGTAGCAGTCCTACAACAATTTTATATTTTTTTAGCAATCGGGTCTTATCTCGAGAATTGAGATACTCCACAAAGTCAGAGCAACCTTCAAAATGGCATTCCAAAGTTTCCAACTTCCTCAAGCATCCTACTTCCTTTCCTTTAACTGTTATTGGAGAATATAATGGAAATATAAAACGATTGTCAACAACCGAATCCTCCAGTAACACAAAGACTTGCAGGTGAGAGAGTTTAGGTAACAACCCACTAGGAAACTCCTTTTCACCACATCCATCCATTATAAGATAACTCAGGTTGCATAGACATTCCATGCCTTGAGGCATCTTTTCAAGTGCCAAAGAACCAGAGAGATCTAACCTCTTCAGTGCCCTGAGCTTTTCTAATGACGGTACATGCCTTAACATTTTACAACCAATGAGCAGTAATGCAGTGAGATTCACCAATTCAGAGACAGAATCGGGCGGTTTTGTGATACCTGTACAAGACAGATCAAGAACCTTGAGCCCATGCAATTGCTCAAAAAATGAATCTGCAATAAGCACCAGTTGATTTCCGCACAACAATAGAGTTGAAAGACTGGGACACCTTGGTGAATGGCCGGAAGGAATTTTTTCAATTTGGTTATGCATCAGTGAAACTCTTATAAGATTCTCTGTCCACTCCTCTGCACCTGGCAATTCTCTTAACTGTTCACCTGCTTTAACCATGCCTTGAGAGTTCTCTTGCTGTATTTGGATGGCCATGTCCCTAATCAAGTCATGCATCTTGACGTATCTTTCATCATCACCCCATTTCTCAGCACTTTCCAATAGGCAGACTCTTTCAAGTTTATTCAGCATCGAGTGGCCTTTGTTAAATTCTGCCTCCCTACTCTTCAGCCCTTTTATCACTCCCTCGTCAATCAAATAAGCTATCAAATCCTCTCTAGGGATCATGAAGTCTTCCGGGAATAATGCACAGTACAAGAAACATCGTTGCAGTTCTGACTCCTTTAAGTGCATATAACTAAATCTTAATATTTGGAATACCTCCTCATCCATGTCCTCCAGCCGAACTCTTGATTGTTTCAACTCCTCCAAAGCATTCCTCCACTCACATATATCATCCACTCCCCTCATGGTTCCGGCCATTGTTTTAATTCCTAGAGGCAAACCAGCACATTCTCTTGCCATAGATTTTGCAATTTCTTCCACTCCTGGAGGAATACGTCCAAGTATCTTTGTGAACAGAGCCCAAGCTTCTTCCATTGAAAGAGGCTCCACTTTGATTGTCTTCTGGCAGAACATCCGCTGACAAACTCCAAGTGATCGAGTTGTAAGAATTAGTTTGCATCCCTTCACTCTGATAGGAATTCCCAACTTATTATAATCAAAACAGTCCCACAAATCATCTAAGATGAGAACCCACCGTTGTTTCTCAGTTAATGCTTTTGACAGTTTTGCAGCCCTTTTCCTCTCGTTGTCTTCATTTGAAAGATCTAAATGAAAGTCTCTTGCAATAAGATTCTGCAATTTATAAACACTAAAATCCTGCGATACCGTGATCCAGTGAACATGAGGAGAAGTGCCAGGTTCTTGTAGAAGCTGATTGTAGATATGTGTGAGCAATGTTGTTTTGCCCACACCCCCCAACCCGTAAATGCCAAGACTTAATGAGGCTTCATCATTCATTATCCACGACCAGATAGCATTCTTATTATTTTCAAACTCTCCACCTGTTAGCTCTTCAGTTAGAAACATATCTCGTCCGATCTCATCGCCATTACGTTGAAGAGCTTCACGAGAGCTATGTCTCACAACAGGCTGCCCAGGTTCTCCAACCATGTTGACTAGTGGGGTACGTAGTTGATCATGATATCTTCCATGGGTAAGACATGGTGGATCAGTTGGTTGGGAAGAATCTTCTTGAAGCTCATCGTGATTAACAAGTGGCCTCTC